CCAAAAGCTGGAATATTTAATGGTTTCTTCAACAAATTAATTCACAAGCAAGCTAACTCGTTCAGAATTATATTTCTGTAAAAATTTAAATCGTCATTTTCAAGAGAACTTATTGTCAAATGATATCATTGATGTATCTTTTCAGAATATAAGATGATGGGTCGTTTTCACTTTTCTAGTGGGCTAGGTGAAATTAGGTGGTGCCTTATATGGAACAAAATATATTGGACATTCAAATTCATTCATCAAACATGAATGAGGTTTAAATTTCATTTCCAAAGAAAAAGATTTACATTTTTTTTTAGGTATGACTCAATGGTAGCACTTGAGTTTCTACCGTTGACTAGTACACCCTAGCCGTTAGATGTTAACGATGGACATTTGAGTGTCTCTCTCTGCTCGGACTCCTTCGAATTGTCTATTGTTAACATCGAATGTTTGGAGAGTTGCTACAGAAAAAACCAAGTGCTCGACCCTTGGGCCTTGTTGGACATTCTGACCCTAAATCAAGATGTCCAAATGTGGCCATATTTTTGTCACAATCTTATAACATGGCTATTTTTTATAATTGGGATTATATACAATGAGACCATTTACTTTTTGCATGGGGATGTCACAATTATTTATAATTATCCAATGTGAAATCTGATAGCTTGGTTTGTCGCAGAGTTCGAAAAATTTTCTTTTGAACTTTAAACTTAGTCAATGAAATAAATTGTCAAGATTTATTGTGACCACTTTATACCAAAGGTAAATAGTCTCATTTTATACTTTCCCTTCATAATTTATGATTATTTCAGCCAATCAAAGTGAAATTCTTTCATAGTTTTATTTTCTATCAAAAAATTCAGCTACTTTCGAAAACCTTTGAACTATGTGTTAAAAAATGGCAGGTTAGATCAGAATCGCCTGATCCGACTCGAGAATCATTAGAGCTATCCTAATCCTTGAATATATCGAGAACCAGGTAGTTCCTACTCGGACTCGTTCAATTCTCTCAAGGAAGCAGCATATCAAACCCTATATTATTTTTATTATTTTTAATTTTTTACTTTGTTCTAAATTTTTTTATTTTTTAATTGGTTGATTGTCTCAATCTTATCGTTGACCCGTATAAGCGATTGGCCGACCAAGACCGATTTCTCGGATGGCCGGTTCGCTTTACTAAAACCGAATTTTTAGACATTACTTTTGAGTGAACTCCTAAATTGAAAAACATAAAATGATGTCACTTTTGAAAGCTCGCTCTCTCTCTATTTCATGTACAAATATGAGGGACCAACTTTTAATTTTTAGCCAAAACTCCATCTACTTTTAGAGAGTTTTTGCCAAATTTTTTACAATAAATTCAAAGTTACAAAGAAAAGTGACGTAAAGTTACACTGCTGGCCTAAAGTTAAAAACCCATTATGTGAGTCTTTATTCAATTTCACAATACCTTCGCTTCCTTAAATACAATTCGATAAAATAGAGACAGAGATAAAACATAGGGAAATTTACTTACGGACTTGGTTTTTATACCTTTACAGGCTCGAAAATGGGTTGTTATTTTTTAGAACGATTTCAATTTTTTTATTTTTTTTGCAAGGTTTGCCTCGGTTTGATTTTTCAAACATTGGACCATTAACTGTTGAAATTTTTTATGAAAATCAAGCGGCCAGAATAGCTCTAACATTGGACCGCATTCTGTTGAATTTTCTAAGTTAATTAAGCGGTCTGATGTTAGAACGATTAGACCGCATTATGTTATGACAATATTTATAAAAATCAAACGGTATGATGGCTCTAACATTGGACTGCATTCAGTTGAATTTTGTAACTTAATTAAGTGATCCGATGTTAGAACCATCATACCACATTCTGTTACGACATTTTATTATGAAAATCAAGTGGCTTGATAGTTCTAACATCGAACTGCATTCTGTTGAATTTTTTAAGTTAACCAAGCAGTCCGATGTTAGAACTATCGGACGACATTTTGTCCATCATTTTTATGAAAAAAAAAGAGTACAAAAAAAAAAAAATGTAAGTATTTTTTATGAAAATCAAGTGGTTTTATGGTTCTATCATTGGGCCGTACTGTTGAATTTTGTAGGTTAACCAAGCGGTCCGATATTAAAACCTTCGGACTGCATTGTGTTGTAAATTTTTATGAAAATTAAGCGGCCAGATGTTCAAAAAATCAGACCGAAGTCAAACTTGGCAAAGAATGAAAAAAATATGGGAATCTATTCTTTAATGTAATAGCAGCCTATTTCCACATCATTATATTCTAATAGTAGAAAAACCCGTTCTGTGCATAAATTTTCTTAAAATATATCGAAACTTATAGCATCGTTAAAGATATAACCCTTGATAGAGTAAAATGATGTATCAAAATTTGTATAGCCAATCCAAATAGTTGAAAAAAAAATATTAAAAAATATTATTTTTTAATATAGATATTTATTTTTCAGAAATTAAGACAGTAGAAATTAAGTAATAGGTTTTTAAGACAATAATATTTCCTCAACCTAAAAAATGACCTGAACATGCAACTATATACTTCCACGTGGCATAATATTGGCCTCAGATAGGAAAGATAAATCCAATCAGATTAAAATATGTACCCATCTTTAGCCATGCCTTAAAAGAAACAAAAAGAAAAAAAATTCCTTTTTTTTTCGAAAAGTGACCCGTTGAGAAAGTGACAGCTTGGAGCCGTTTAAATCCAGCGGATAAGCACGGGACTACAAGCACAAGGATAACGGCTATCTTTGATGGCCCAAATTTACAAAGATACCCATGTTTCCTTACGGAAATAACAGAAGCAGCCTTCAATGAACTAAAATTCAGCTACTGCCCTTTAGAATGTCATTATTGCTGAAAAAGAGAACAGGTTAGAGAGAGAGAGAGAGAGAGGAGGGAGAAGAGATATGGTTTCTAGTGTTGCTGCCTTGTTGGGCTGTAAAGTTTATAATGGCCCACTGGAGAGAGAGAGATAAAGAGATGAGAGAGAGAGAGAGAGAAAGAGAAAGAGATGAGAGACCGAGAAAAGGAGAGGAGAGAGAGGTCATAACCCAAA